GGATATTAGGTTCTAGGGTCACCTCTGAAATCTCAACGAACAGTTTATCGGACAGTTTAATCTACTTCTGCGGTATAATCGCATTATTTTCATTTTAAAATACAAACAATACTACAAGTAGTATTATTTTGAAGTCTAAGACCCTTTCTTGTACTCCAAACGTAGGATTTTGGCTGAACGTTCAGACAGTTGTATTTGCGATGATTTCGCTGCTTTTCGATGCAATTGGGTTTGTCTCCTAAGTGCGTCTGCTACTGACTGGTCTGCTGGCTTCTGATCCAATAAGCAGCCGAACAGTCCACACAATTGCATCATGAAGCAGCGGAAGCATCGGCAAAACAAGCATCTGGGCTTACAACCAGAAGCGTGCTTTGGGAGTACGATACGAACTCTTTTTTTATTTACAGTCAGACAATGTCAGAAAACAATTTGAGTAAGCAGTTAAAGGTACTTTTGGTCTCTTTATTTTGACCTGTTGAGTGCATCTGATGCTCAGAAAGCCTTTATAGTAAAGAAAACTTCATGCTAGTTCCCTAAATTGAAGCAAAACAGGCAGACTTGAGCAACAGCTAAGGGTGCCGGATATCTACGAAAGTTCCTATGCCATTTACTATGATTGAACCAAGTAAATCCCTTTCAGAACTGTAAAATCTACCCTTGGGTTGGTGAAAATCAGGTGTTTTACAGAAAAAGGAGCGAATTTATTTTTATAAATCATTATTTTGGCCAATTCTGGCAGTTTCAAAACGCAACAAAAAATTTTCCGGTCGTATTTTGTTTTGCTGCACCGTTCCAATAAAACAGAGTCTTTTCCAATGCTCAGCAGAGATATTAACACTAATCTTCAGGAGAACCCGCAATCGCCTAAAATTCACCACTTTACTTAGACCTAACCTTGTAAAAAGTGACTTACACAGGTAATCGTCCATTTACTTTCTACTTAAAGTGTTTGTTTTTAAAAAGATAACGTATCATGTTATTCTTTTAAGTGAGTGTAGGCATAGTTATCTCAGTCTTTTGCTTTAGTCGTTCACTTATCTCGGCGATGAGTTTGTATGTTTGCCGCAGATGGCCATCATCATATTAACTAATATCCAAAAGGCCATTTTTCGGTAACCGCTATTACGAAGTATCTTATTTTTTGGGGGGGGGTTATGAAACATCGGACAGAATATCAATTTCTAGAACTCGTTAAATATTAAGCAGAATTTCAAGGACTACCTGACATTAATTGTAATCCAGTAGCGCAAATAATTATAGACGAACTTGAAGAAAGGAAAGTTCTTTTCATGAGCAAAGAAATATTAGGCAAAATATATCGTCCACGTATCTACCATAGAACATCAGGTCATCGATAGTGTCTTTGAGCCTTGTTTCCTTGAATTTGTAAAAATAGACGGAGTGGCAATGGGCTCACCACTTGGACCATTCCTCGCAAATTTCTTCATCGGCAAGCGCGAGGAAACAAGGCTCGAAAAAATATTATGTTTAAAGGTTAACTTGACAGTTCTATCTAAATTTATTGGTCACAGTTAAAGCGATTTTTCCCATTTTCGGTATTTACCGATTTTTTTTAAAATTATTAATTTTTAGTGTTCCGGCAAGATATTCAAACTGCAGGATGGCTATTTCGGGCTATTGGCTCTCATCAGCTACGTGCAGCCAACTCTAATGTAGCCGCTGAAATTGCCGCCACACCCGATTTTCGAACTCGCGCCTCGCCGCTCAGGGGCAGACGTCCTAACCATTGAGCCATCGAATTTGATGTCTTGCCAGTTGCCGATGGTTATTAGTTTGACCTAAAAAGTTGTATTTTCATGGCTGATCTAAGTTTTAAATTCGCCTGGGGTTGCTCAGTATGATTCTAAAGCTTTGGTTTATTAATTGGTGTTACTTGGCGAGTGATTATCAATCTCTCGCAAAACTTAACATTTTCTCACGACTCAGGTCATCACCTACTGTGCATTGTAGCATTTAGAATGTCTACTAGACGGTTATTCCGCAGGCATTTACAGTTTTCAGGCCAAGGGGTAACCATACTTTTAAAACAGTCCGGCAGCAAGGATAGGCATTCCAGGCGACTTCTTCGATCTCCATTGCGCCGCTGGGTGAGATGGCGCGAATGAAGGCGGGTACCTTGTTGGCCAGATGGTAGATCTTGTGCGTGAATTGACCGTCGGTGAATTTTTCCCCGTTCGCGACCAGGGGCGCCTCAGGTGGGTGCGTCTTGCTGTCGAAGGGTTCATTTACGAGAATTTCCACTCCCTCACCACCGCCGGTCTCATTTTTGGAGCTCTCGACCACAGTCCACAGCTGGGCCACTTGATACTGCTCCACCGTCATGGGCAGTATCACGCGGCTAAAAAATGTAAGATAACACTGTCTTTATGTGGTG